GGGGGGGGCCACATTGTAAAATGGTTGCAAGAAGCCACATCTGCCCTACGAATTTGGGAAGATACAAATCCTTTCAAATCTTTCCTTCAAAGCACTCAGCTGTCAGCATATAACAGTCACAAAGTGATTAAGGTGCTGAAATGCATATTCATACAGAATCAGAATAGGTAGAATAGGAACTTAATCTTTTTGATAGACAAATCTGAAAGGTGCTACTATTTTCTTTGCTTATCTCAGCTTAATATGCGTTTCATGTGTAGATACTACTAGATGTGCATTAGGTTTTCGTATATCTGGGCATAACCAGCAGTTCCAGTGCTCTAAAAATGTGACCTGGCTTTTGACATATAAACTTAAAGCTAGTGCACAGAGGCTGAGGATGGAGCAGTAATAAAAATTATAGGATGGTGTATGGACCAAAAATGGTGTACTGGAAACTAGCTTTAGTAGGCAGCCCTTAGGGGCTCCTGGAGACTTGGACTGGGAAGGGGAGAATTGGGCTTTATTCTCATGACTACTGCTCCTGCTGCTTGGATTTTGAGTCTGATGTTATGCTACTGGACATTCAGTCATGCTCTTAAGAGGCATCCTTTCATTTATGTAGGTCCGGAAGAGACAGCTGGGTAGTAAAACATAGGTACTGGCCTTTACCTAGACATTCAGTGGGGCCTTTGCCTTTTGAAAATTAGGCCTGGGTGCATACAGTGACCATGATCATAGAAAGGCATTGGTTTTGGTGTCCAAGCATCTGATATCAGTTGGTTTGCCAGATAGTGGAGGGCTGATAAGGTGATATGTTTCACCGTCAACCTTCCCCACCACCAGCAAATCTGAAAGTACAAGTTCTTGCCAAAGGCAGACGATATGTTCTGTTCTTCATTGTGGGGGTGTGTTTGCTTTAATGGGAGGAGAACAGAGAATCTAGCAACAGTAATAGTTTTACAGGCCTTCAACTCTGTTTTGGTTTTTTTTTTATTTTATTCTTCTTTAAAAAGTTAGCTTAGGAAGATAACTAACCAGATTCTCTTCCTCTTCTGTCCTGCACCCTCAGCTGAAAAATTCAAGCATAAAAGTCTTACTAAAATATAAACCTTACTGTACACTCATGGTAACATACTGAAAATCTTTAAATTTTTTTTTTTTTTTTTTTTTTTTTTTTTCTTCTTTCTAAGGAAGCTTTACAGGTAAATAGTAGTGGCTGGATCTCAGGTCAGCAGACGCAGATACATTTTGGTTAATATCTTCTCATCAAATTGAACTGTGACTACAAATATTTACATTATAAGTTTTGTAAATTTAGTCAAAGTAAAATATATAACTGGCAGTTAAAGCTGTATTTTTGTTACCAGGGTCATAGTGTAGCCTCAGGTGAATTGTAGCCTGTCTTATCAGCAGGCAAATAACTTGCTTTAGGAGGGATTTTCTCACTGTGTGGACCTTTCTCCTCTCCTTCCAGGCGTCTGAGAAAAGTACTCGGCCCAAAAGCACCGGAGTCTTTCAAGACGAAGAGCTCCTCTTCAGTCACAAACTTCAGAAGGACAATGATCCAGACGTTGACCTCTTTGCCAGCCCCAAGAAGTCAATGGTGAGTTCAAAATCCTCCTCTGAATCTGCTGTTTAAAAACTGTCTTTGAAGTGTGCAGCTTACCGGTGTTCCTGGTTTGAACACAGCTTAGAAGTCACTGATTTCCAGGGAGGGCCAAGTGCTAATATCAGTTCAGGCATCATGGGCTGAAGGAGATGTGTTTTTGATCTGTGACACATCTTTTCTTTATCCTTTGTCTCTTTAGTCTGCAAACCGTACCCTGAAGCCATCGTCTGGAGGAGGGCTTTTTGGGGATGATGATGAGGATGATCTCTTCAGTACCGCTAAAACAAATCTTCCGGTATCTGTTCCTCTACTGTAAATGGCTTATATAAAAGATGTTGGAAAGAAGTGTATGGGAGGGATTTTTTCCATATGTATTCCCACAAGAAATGAAGTGACTTCCCAAATCTTTTTGAGAGAATAGAAATGGCCATTGTGACTGCGAAGACATAGGGAACAAACAGATGCATTAGGTCTCCCAAAGCTGGGATGAAAGGATTGGATTCTTTTTCTTTCTGTGTACACCTGGGACTGGCTTAGGTGTAAGAGAACACACTTGAGCAGAAATCAGAGTAGCAGAGTTTGTATTGTTTAATTGTTTTAGTGTTTAACTCGCTAATATTACTTCCCTGTAGTTCATGCATGACTAATGAGCCTTGCTCTGTGACTTATGTAATTGAAGTCTCTGCAGGTTGGTTTGATTTAAGTTAATGAATGGGGTATTAAAATCCTTGTGATCACTGGATTGCTTTTAGAGGGCGAGCAGCTGCAATATTGAACTAGACTGCATTACAGGTGGTCTGAGGTCAAAGTCCTAACATGCATTCTAAACTGCCACTCTGAAAGTATTTAGCTTAATTAAACTGAAGCCAACTTTTACTTTAGTCTATTTTCATGTCTCTAGCTGGAAGTTAGGCTAGAAAACTGGCAATAGTTCCTGGAAACAGTTTCTTTGAGGACTGTGGAAGGGGTGGTCTTAAGTAATTAGCACTTGGCAGCTATATATGGAGCCTGTTTGCTTGAAAACATAAAAATAGCAGTGTTCCTTAGCTAGCTTTGTGCTTTTATTTTCCCTGCTGTCCTGTGCATGAGGAAATACGTATGCATTTGGAAGTTTATTGAAACTCTCATTGTTTATCGTTACCATAGACAGAAAAGGCTGAGATAGGCTAAAGAAACAGAGTGGAAGGTCCTTGTCATTTCAGAGCCAAAAGGCAATGCCTATGATGCATTGCAGTCAAAAGATGTGGCTAGTTTTCTTTTCAGATAGAAGCAAGATTAAAAAGCTTTGCTTGGTTTTTGGTTCGGTGGGTTTTTTGCTTTTTGGGGTTGGTAGTTTTTTTGTGATCTGCAGACCATGCTTTCTACCTGATTCGTGTTGACTTGTGCTCTTAATGCTTTCAGAAAATAGCTGAGAAGAAAACACTTAAGGCCAGTACTGGCCCTTCCTTGGAGAACAGTAACCTTCTAGAAAATGCTTTAAGTGCCAAACAAGATGAAGCTCTGAAGGCAGTAACTACAGAGGCAAGTAGCTAAATCTTGTGCCTTGAACAGCATGCATAGAAAAAGGAGATGTATCATTTTGTTTTAAATAAGTCTCTTGAAAAGATCAAGACTAGTGCTTGGATTTACTGGCTGCAGAGCGTCAATGTGTGGCCAGACTTGTCTCTGCTTATCAGCAGGTGCACTGTTACTAGCAAGAACTTTAAATGCTGTTGATGCAGTGTTTTATTCATTGTCCACATGCTTATAAGGGCAAAGTACAAGGCAGTGAAGAACTACACCTTGGGTCCATTTGGACTGAAAATGGGTTGTTCTTCTCTAAGTGCCAGTGTCTGTTGGAGTGAATATGATCTTTAAAGTATAGGTAGGCTTTTTCAGAAAGGAGATCAGGGTACGCAGCACAAATCTGTGGCTGTTGAGAATCTTATGTTGGAGACTTTATGATGAGCAAACAAGACTCCTGCTCCTGTCCTTGCAGAACCAAGGGTCTCTGGGAGAGGCAGTCTGGATCTGAATTCTGGCTTGTGCCTCACCAGAGCTGCTTGTTGGAATTCCATCTGTAGGAGACTGGCTTTTCATTGTGGGGGGTGGGTGTTGTTTTTTTGTCCCCTGGGCTGTGGAACACAGAGCAAGTCTGTAGGGCTAGTAATTAGCCTGGCTTCCCTTACGGTGAAGTATTCCTTGAAGTGTAGAACCATGCTCATCTTCCCTTTTTTGTAGCTACTGATAGCCTGGTATAGGAATGATCTCAGCCTGTCTGAGGTTCAGCTGAACACTATATGCATTTAAGTGGACAATGATCTCCCCAGACACTGGGATTCCTCTGTCATGCTATCAAGACCCCCAAACCAGTGTCCTAACCCTTGCAAACCCTCAGTTACTTCAACCTGGGTTAAGGAGCTCTGACTGCCCAGTCACACCAACAGTAGTATAGCCTAGCTCACAAACCATGGTAAAGTACAAACTTGTGGAGAGCAAGCCCTGGGGAAGAACACTTTAGCTGATTTGGTTCATCCCTGAGTCCTAGAATTGACCCAAGTCTTCAGACCAGAAAGCTGCTCTTGCTCTTCTAGTCTAGTCTTATTTCTGGCACTGACAGCCTGCTTTCTGTAGAGGAGCACTTGCTTCTCTGAAGCTGTTTTCCTTGCAGGCTGAGAGGTACAATTTTATAGTCCTCTTGGCTTCTCTGTGGGCTTCATTGAAGTCTGTGGCCCTACTATAGCTAGTCACAAAGAGACAAAGTTAGTTATATCATGATCTGGCAATATGGCTTCAGAGGGTCTTAGGGGAGGGAATATGCAAGGAGGGAAGGTAGCTGTCAGAGTTTGATTTGACTGGTGGTGTGTGTGACCTGGAGAAGATGGAAGTTGTTGGGTTACTATGACAAAGTATAATATTGGGTAGAAAGAGGGTGGAATGAAATGTGATAATGAAGATGGAGCTAAGGCATGTGGGGAACTGAAGCTGAAAATTGAGTGACTGGAGCTCTGTTGGTAGAATGTGATGATAACAAGGTATCTTCAGAAGAAATTGGTAAGCAGTGAGCTGCTTTCTATAGATGTATTAAAATGCAAACTATTGTCTGGTTGACAACAACTTGTCCACTTGTTTAATCCAGTGTAATTTTGTGCAGAAATCTACAGGTCCTGTTCCCATTAAAACCAAAGAGCCCTCATCTCGGATTGGAAAACTACAAGTAATTAACTTTACTGGCATTTTGACTTTAAAAAAAATCTTCCTCACCTCACTGATGGCTCTCCCTGAAACAAAATCTTTTTACTTCCTTACCTTACTCTTGCAATTTTTTTTTTTTTCAGATGGCATATTTTCTATTACTTTTTCTGTATTGCATGTTTAATATTATTTCCTCCTCCCGTTTCAGACCTGACTCTGAGCAGCACTATTTACTCTATTTGCGGGGCAGAGGGTGGGCTCCTCTTTGACCTGCTACTCTTCTCACCCCTATTTTAAGTACATTCAGAGACTCTTAGGGTATGTTCAGAGACTCTTAGGGGCTTGGGGTTTTGGTTATGTCCCCCTTCTGACATGAAATGACTAATAACTGTTGATATCACTGTCTTAACATCAGAACCATTGTTGTCCTCAGACAGGATACTGAGCCATATAGGGGTTTGGTCTGACACAGTGTGGCCATGCTGTTCCTGAAGCTCTTATACAGAATAATGGTGTTGAGCGCTCCACAGGCTTAGTGAGACAGAGGTTAAGTGTGTAGGTGTGAGAAAGGCCAGGCACTTGTAGAAGTAGAACTTGAATGCCTATATAAGCTATTTCTTGCTGCTTCTCTGGAGCCATGCTTGTTCTTAAGCAGTACTAACGTGATCTCTTTTTGTGTGTCTGTTTTGGTTTTCTCTGTTTTGTAGGCTAACTTAGCTATTAACCCTGCAGCCTTACTACCTGGTGCAATGCCTAAGGTCTCCAATGTAAAGTCCCCCTTACCAGTTCTGGACACTCCATTGCATGAGCCCAAGGATGTACAGAACAGTGAAGCCTTCTCTGCTGCAGAAAACAATGAAGAACTAGGTGTAAGCTTTGATCAGCCTATGCAAGCAGATACCTTGCACAGCGCCAATAAGGTAACCTTGGTATTTAGGGGGATAGAAGGGGGGATTAAAAATGCAGCCTGTCCTCATGCAGGAATTTGTGTTTTAGTATGCAAGTTCTGCTAAAAGTGTGGTCTATCTGAATGCAAATGGAGGTGTGGAAATCTAAGCCCCTCTCACTTCTGTGGACCACTGAAGAGAGAGTCAAGGCTACTACATTCTTAGCTCTGTAATGGGCTTATGCATATGCCTAATTCTGTGCCTTTTTAAGGTATATGTGTACTTTCCTCAAATACAGTGGTTTTCCCTATAGGTTAAAGGTATTTTAGCATAACATCTTATCCTGTCCCAGGAGATGCCAACCTGAAAACAATAAAAAAGGCATCTCTCCAGGCTAACTATAAAATACGTTACGGACAGCTGCTGTGGCAAGATATTAAGAACACATCACTGCTGTAGGTTAACATTTACCACCTCTGTGGATAAAAATGTCATGTTGTCCTGAACTGTCACTCCCAATTCTTTTTCATACAAAAACTTTGTTTTTAAAGAAAAAACCCACACAAAACCAAAACAAAAAGAAGTGTTACAGCTTTTGACATGGCAGGTCTCTCCTGACTCACTTCTTTTTTATGCACACCTTTTACTTTGTGGACTGCAAAAGGCATATTCTAATTAAAGATTTAGTGGTTCTTTTAAAAAAAAAAAAAAAAAGAAAGCTTGAACCATGTAGTTAAGATTTGGTCTGGGTGCTTATGATTTTATAAACCTCTTGGGTTTTCTGAGAGCAGCGATTTGAATAAGATAACTTAGGATCTTAACTTTGATTCTTTGCTTAATGGTGCTGGGGCTGTTCATTACTAGATGAGCAGCAAAGATGACTTGGGAAGATGCAGCAGCTGTCACCACAATGGCTGACATGACCCCTTAGTGTCAAAAGGGTTTGAAGCTTGTACATCAGACTAATGCACTACCATGTAGGCATAGTTGTTTCCAATAGCAGCATGACCTGCACAATAAAACCCTCTATCCATGATACTTTTAACTAGATAGGTTTGCAAAAGAATAGAGCTCATGTAGCTGCATATGGTCAACCTTGAATGTTCATTTTAGCATAGTGATGATGCATGTTTGCTTACTGAAGTAATCTGAGAAGAAGCATCTCAGTAACTATACCCTGAATGTTTTTTGTGGCTCAGGTTACATGTTTTAATTTTAGTGTGCCATTGCTTCTTGAACCTTTCAAGTTTGAGTTTAAGCTGTTAATATATGCAGCGAAATGCACTTTTTTGTAAAGGCTGGAACAAAGCAACCTACCCAGCATTCTGGCTGTCCTTTCAAAGAACAGTGCATGGAGCAGTGTCCTGGTTTCGGCTGGAATAGAGTTAATTTTCTTCCTAGTAGCTGGCATAATGCTGTGTTTTGGATTTAGTAGGAGAAGAATGCTGATAACACACTGATGTTTTAGTTGTTGCTAAGTACTGCTTATGCTAGTCAAGGACTTTTCAGCTTCCCATGCTCTGCCAGGTGCACAAGAAACTGGGAGGGGGCACAGCCAGAACAGTTGATCCAAACTGGCCAAAGGGCTATTCCATACCATGTGACGTCATGCTCAGTATATAAACTAGGGGGGGGGGAGTTGGCCGGGGAGCAGCGATCGCTGCTCGGGAACTGTCTGGGCATCAGTCAGCGGGTGGTGAGCAATTGCATTGTGCATCACTTGCTTTGTATAATTATTATTATCATTATTGTATTGTTATTATTATCATTACTATTTTACTTTATTTCAATCATGAAACTGTTCCTATCTCAACCCAGGAGTGTTTCTCACTCTTACTCCTCCGATTCTCTCCCCCATCCCATCAGGGTAGGGGGAGTGAGCGAGCGGCTGCGTGGTGCTTAGTTGCTGGCTGGGGCTAAACCACGACAAGCAGGGATCAGTTTATTTCAAGTGCATCTCCCTTCCATCATAATATTCCTGGTTTTCAGCCATGCTCTGATAAATACAGCCCTGCACTCTGAAGGCAGATGTGCTTCTACAATGATTCTGACAAAAGCACATGGCTCCTTTAAGCTGTGTTATCACATATCCATCCAGATTATCTTTCTACTCCAACACAGCAATTAACAAAAGGGGGGAAGAGGTTGTACTGATCTGTTTCCTACCTGTGTGAATACTGCTGTCCATGTGGAATGGTAGAGGCTATAACGGAAACTTGCAGGGGGGCTTTTTTAAAAGCAGCAGAGGAATGAACTGCAGCAGGCTATGCATAAAATGAACTTAAATGGACAACATAATTAGTCATGACTTGGACAGTCTAACTGCACTGCAGAAGCCCCTGGGCAGCAAGCTGTCAGACTGACTAAGGTATTACCTAAAGCTGAGGGGCTAGAGTGGTTTGCTGACCTGTGTTGTGACTCTCTACTTGCAAGTGCTGTTGCTTTTGTACCCCAGTTCTACATGCTGTGGAATGACCAGAGGACAACAAATAAAAAGTCCTGGGTTTATTTTTCAGAACCTTGCTGCAAACTACTCCAAGCTTGAATGTCCCACTTGTCCATCTTTCTAAAAAATGGGGAGAATGGATTATGCTGAGCTGATGATGCATGGTTCCTGCTGCTTCTCCCTATAACCTAAATCAGTGTCTGCTCAGCATTCCTGGCTCAAGATTCTCAACTGAGCATTTGTTTAAATGTACATGTAGCTGTTTAAGTTACTTAAACCAGACCTGTGAGCAGAACTTGTAGTTAATTCAGTTTCAGTGTGCTAGTATGAAATGGGTAATACATGTTAATTGCAGTGTTGTGAAGACAGACAAAGTGTTACAAGGAAATGTAACAGTAATCCTAACCTGTCTTCTGTGAAGTGGGAGATTTTTTTTCCTTCTATATAACCCTGCTCTGCTTTTACTCCTTTCTTGCAGACCAGGATCAAGGTTACAGGAAAACGAAGACCTCCTAGTAGAATGGCCCGCCGTCTAGCTGCCCAGGAGTCTGAAGAGAGTGAGGAGGTGGACAGTGCTAAAGAATCACAGTTCTCTCTACCAAAACAGACATCAGCAATAGTGAACATAAAGGAGCCTCTTGCTACTGAAGCAGAGTCCAAGGAAAATGGCTTTCTCTCTGGCTTGTCACTACCAGCTCATGGCAGTGTTTTGTCTGCTGGGACAAACTCACTACTTCCTCCAGAATCTACAGACCAAGGGGACGATCTCTTTGAATCAGAAGACCTTTTTGCAAGCAGCTCAACATCCAGACCAGCTGCACAATCAAAGTTAAAGGAGGGAATGCTAGACAGTGTGGCTAATAAACCTATCAAAGGCAGGGAGAAAAAGTCTGATCTGTCTGTTCTGGGTGATCAGGACAGCAATGATCTCTTCCAGCCTGTACAGCAAAAATTGTCAACAAAAAGCAGCCCTATACCTTTTTTGGAGGAAGAGGAAGACTCTCTCTTCACCTGTCAGAAAACTGGAAAAAAGGAGTTGAAATCTGCTGTCCAGCAAGCTGTTGACCCTACTGCCCAAGATATCTTTGAGGTAATGTTTGAGCCTATTACCTTGGCCTTTTTGATCCCCAGGGCCTTATGCAGACCCCTCTACTTAGACACATGCTTAATGGAGGCTGCTGAGTAGGATGGGGTGTGCAGGATGGATAAAGTAAACTGTTGATCATGCTCTGCTACTGGCCAATAGAAACCTTTTCTCTGAATGTTCACCCCCTTATTAGCAAGAGTGGTTTAAAAGGTGGAGCCTTAACACAGAGCAGGCATGTCACTGAATGTGCTGTGACAACATACTTATGACCTTTTTCACAGTAATAAAGTATTTGGTTCTTATCTGTTAGCTGTCTGTTCAACACACAGCAACTCAACTCTTAAAAAAAGCAATAAAGTTGGCAGGTTGGGCAGCTGATACAAGCCTCTCTGTGCTGTACTTGACTTGTACGCAATCCCACACTAAGGCGCTTCTGCCTTATCCTCCGTTGGGAGAAGGGACTCAAACTTCTCAGGTTTGAGAAGCCCAAGGCTGTCACTCTTGTAAACATCTCTGTTGCTGTGTACAGATAATTTGACTGTTCTCTTGAAGTGTGTTATGTATTGATGATCCCTCTATGCTTTGCTCCAAGGATGATATATTTGCTACTGAGGCAATTAAACCAATGAACAAAGCAAAAGAGAAGATGCCAGAGACTAACCTGTTTGATGATAACATTGATATTTTTGCGGATCTCACCGTAAAACCACAAGAAAAGAAGACCAAGAAAAAGGTGGAACAAAAATCCATATTTGATGATGATATGGGTAAGCGTCTAATGTCTTGCTGCTAATCTGATAATATTGTCCTGAGTTGCATTCATGGGAGATGGTTCAGAACCCTTTGCTTTCTTTTAAATTTTCAACTGCTCTGAAATCTCTGGTCATCTTTAGATTTTAATGTTGGATGAGAACTTCCTGGATTTGTAGAACTAGCACAGCATTTAAATGGTTTGGGAGAGTGTATAAAATTCTTCTGAGAGAACGAGTAGTTTAATTCCTGTAGGGATTTTCTCACGTGTGGGATTAGAAAATTTCTCTTGTTTTGAGTAAGAGACTAATCTCACGTTGTTATGGCTCAAAGATATACATTCTCTGTTTCAACTGGCACAGCTTTTTGTATCATACTTTCAGATGAAGCACTGATATGAACAAATTAGCATCTCTTCCCACCCCACCTTCACTATTGTATTGACTACCTTGGAGCTCATAAGATTTTGTTTATGTCCATGTATACCCAGAACAATTTACAAATACTACACCTGAGAGCAAAAGTTTGCCCTGTATTATTTGTTGAAAAAGCAGCATATAGTAATGTGAAATGATGCAAAGCATGCTCCTTTCTTGTTCTCCATCAATGGAGGTGTTGAAAGTCATTTGATCCCTGACTGTGTGTTTGTTCTCAGGCTTTTCATGTTTATAGCTCTTCTTTGGGATTGCATGTATTTCTTCTCCTCTAAGACAAAAAATTTCCCTTCTCCTCTCGCTTTGATTTTTGTCAGTCTTCATTCTTTCTAACCTATTCAGATTGAATCTGACTTATCACTGTTTTATTGGACTGCTGTTAAGCATTCCAGCCTGATGGAATGACCTGGCTGAAGTCTGTAAACGTATTAGAGAACTTGCCAGAGAATGAACATCTTGGGATTTCAAAACTTTCTCAACTGATATAAAAACCAAGACCTAAACATTTGTGGGCAAGGTATTTGAGATATGTATTGGATGACTAAAATATCTTATTTTAATAAGTTACATTTTTTCATGTAGCCTATAGCAAATAAAACAATTTCCCAAACAGCTACCCCTTCCAAATACTTCAGCACAAAAACCTGGACCTCATGTTGAAAAAAGCAGTTGTACAGTGCCACTTAAAAGTATCCTGGAAAATTAGCCACAACAGAACCTGTCATTTGCACTTCCACTTTTGACATCTACTCTAGTGCTAGAGCTTGTTGTTTGATGTCACATCTGATCTTGATTACCTATAGCATCTACAGCACCCTGTATCTGATAGACTTCATCTTCCTCTAGAGTGCTGACTGTTTTGTGGTGCAGCCACAGGTATGCAGCTACTTTGTGCCCAAAGCTATGGAGCTCCAGAACACCAACAGGAGCGTAGAGAGGATGCCCTGCCAGCAATAGGGTGGTAGAACTGGCACTTGCCTATGCTTCAGGTTAAGGGTTGGTTTAAGTGATCATGGTAGCACTTTATCAGGGCTGTATATTGTTGCCTTAGGAGATCTTTCCCGTTGCAAATAAAACAGTAAGTGGGTGCAGTTTGGCAGGGGTGGAGACTGCAGGCTGCTTTCCTTCTTTGTCCTACCACAGCTTCTAGGCACTATTTACTACATTTGTATCAGGCTTGTGGTGGCAGTATTAGAAAAAGTCTTTCTTGGGTCTTTATCCTCCTGGCCTCCTCAGTGACCTTATGGCTGATGACACAAACATCTTGATGCCACCTCTGCCTGTCTGGAAGAGTCTGCTAAATGGTGACTGAGCTTTCTTGTGCATTGACAAATACTGTTTTCCATGGTCAAAGCTTTCCTATTCCTTAAGCCTTGTCATAAAAAGGGAGCAATACCTCTACTGCTGATGGCACTCACTGCACTTCCCCTCTGCTGTGAAGCTAATCCATGTGATAGCTTCTTGCTTTGGAGTGATGCCAGTAGGGGATTACTCTCTTACTGCCTTTCTGAACTGTTCTTGTGCTGAAATGCTGTCCTGGATTATTCCCATGTAATCCCTATGATCAGCACAGTGGCAGACACATGCTGGAGTGGAAGAAATATCGAGAAGAGAAAGACAAGCACATTGTGATAGGCCACTCCATGCTTGGCCTCTGCTTAAGGTTAGGATACATGCTGAAGGCTGAAATACTAGTTTTTATACTCTGGAACAGTAAATGGCTATCAACCTTTATATTAGACCTGTGTTTTCTTAATAGGGATTTGAGACCAGTTATGTGCTACTTATATTGGCCTTGTGAATCACTAGTGATCCACATATCTCAGTCTTGTAAATTTTTTTTATCCCTCATAGTCCAACTGCATAATCTGAGTATCCAAAATTTAGAACCTTAGTGCATAGGAGGAGATCTGCAGTTGTGTGTGCCAAGGAAACCTCGGGGCAACACTTCAGCATGTGTATGGTAGCAGCTCCATCTCTTTCCATGAGCACAGTCCTAAACATGAGCAGCACTAGCCACAGCACGAACTGCAGGTCTGTGACCTCTGCTGCTGGTACAAGGTATCCAGGTTGGAGGGTTTCATTTCTACCAGTTGTTATCCTTCAGGAGAAAATTCTGTCTTGATAGCAACATGATATTTTTCCACTTTGTGGTCCTAGTTTTTCATAACAGAAATGCTTGTATTGAGGAAGGTGGTGGGAGATCTTGATTCAGGACTCTAGATA